CCCCTTCCAGTGCTTCACCACTCTTTCAGTAGAGAAATTTTCCCTAATATCCAATTTAACCCAAGATCAGCAAAGCTCTGTCCTCTGCAAGGGATCCCATGTCCCATTTTCACCCCCAGTGCAATGGGACCCGGCTTCCCCAGCATAGGAGGGGAAAACGGAGAAGAGAGGCACCACAAAGCCAAAACATAGGTAAAAAATCTCACACAGCAAGGGCTGATCCTTACATAAAACCCACCCGGACCCCAAAATCAGCCAAGCAACCCCCCCAGGACCTGGATACCTTCAGCACAGAGAGGTCGAAGTCCTGGTGGAGGATGTTGGGGATGGATTTTCCACTGCCGATGTCCTGGAAGAGCCGTAGCACCCGCACGCACTCCTCTGCTCTCTGGTGAACCTGGGGGATGGAGTCACCCTCTCCCCAATTAACCCAGCTCCTCCACCCCACAGATTTGGGGCCAGGTCCTCCCCCCACGCTCGTTCCTCTGAAATCACAGCGCCCAGGCGCAACCTTTCCCTCTATTTCTAATTTATTTCTCATTCCCCTTCAAGATTTACGCTCCTGGGTTCATCTTTAAAGGAAAATTTTTTTTTCCCTTGTTTGCGAAATGGGCTGTTTTCAGTGATTTTAGCACCAAAATAAGAAGCTGGGAGGTGATGTGAGCCTGTCAAAAGCATCTCCAACCACTATGTTTCCTAGAGATCTTTTGTACAGCAAATCTTGACTTGATGTTGTCCTTTTAAACAAGGTATTAAAGGACATGAAGCATCTGGGGACGTGGCAAAGCTGGAGCTGAACAGAGAAAGCCCATGAAATGGTGAAAATCAGATTAAACAGATTTTTCTCAGCTCGCAAGGAGAAAGCTCAGCCCCAGCATCACGGCACTGCGGGTTTGGGAAGGGCGGGAGATGAAGACCCCAGGGATGGGGGGGATTTCACACCACCTGGGGTTGCCCACCCTGAACCCCCCCACCCCAGTACCTGCTTATTTCGGAAATAAAACTCCTTCTGCCCCTGGGGCACGCGTCCGAATGGGATCCACTCCTCGCCCCCTGCCTCCGCCGTGCAGAAATACGTCGCGGAGGCTGAATGGTCCCTGTGGCGCGGGGTGGGGGCAGGCGGCTGCATCACGGGGGGCACCGGCAGCGCCCACTGGGCACCCCCTCACTGCTGCCCAATTCAGGGGAGATCAGGGACCAGGGACCCCACCTGTGCTCCAGCGCCGCCACCACGAAGCCCCAGGACACCAGCTCGGAGCAGAGAGAGGAGTACACGGTCCTGCCAGGGGTGGGGGATCAGGAGGGGTCCAGGATGCCCACATCCCCATCCCAGCTCTGTTCCTGAGCCTGGCTGGGGATGCTGAGCCCCCCGGTCCTACCGAAAGGCTCCCATGCCATGGGAGAAGATGATCAGCGGGTACCGGCTGCAGGAGGGCTTGAAGGGCCCGTTCCAGCTCCCCGACACTCGGCAGGAGCCTGCGGGGGGGAAACCCAGAGATATGGGAGAGACGGCACCAGGGTCCCTGCTTGGCTCTGTCTCTGCCATGCAGCTCCCCTGAGCACAGTGGCCTTGAACCCCGTGAAGGGAGCAGGACCCTGGGGACGGGGGACACGATGGTCCCTTACCGATGATGACGTTGAGCAGGGGCGCGAAGTAGCGGTGG